GGGTGATGGGAAGTGTGATACTTCAGGTTTAGAAGAGGGTTAAAAAAGTGGAAAGGAAAATAGAAAAGAGGAAAAGAGGAAAGTAGAAAAGGCGAAAGGAAAGGAAAATAGAAAAGAGGAAAGGAAAGGAAAATAGAAAAGGGGAAAGGAAAAGAAAAGAGGAAAGTAGAAAAGGGGAAAGCAAAATAGAAAAGAGGAAAAGAAAATAGAAAAGAGGAAAGTAGAAAAGGAGAAAGGAAAATAGAAAAGAGGAAAGGAAAGGAAAAGAGAAAAGAGGAAAGGAAAAGAGAAAAGAGAAAGGTAGAAAAGGAAAAGAAAGGAAAGAAAGGGAAAGGAAAAGAGGAAAGGAAAATAGAATAGAGGAAGGAAGAAAAGGAAAAGAAAGGAAAATAGAAAAGAGGAAAGGAAAGGAAAGAGGAACTGGTGATTCAACCACTTGGAAGGATAAACCCAGGGTGGCATCCCACCGATGCCAACTCCAGCCAGAGGTCAGGAGGACGAGGGGGGCAGCCTCTCTCATCCAGGGACCGAGCGATGGGCAGGGAAACTGGTTTCCTGGCAGGCCATGAGCTTTCTGAAACTTCTGCCCCATGCTACCTGCCTCTCCCCTCCGGTAACGGTACTGGGAACATGTGGGAGGCCAGCTGGCATTTCCAAAATTGGCACCTGCACTTTATGAGCCCACAAGGTGCTGAGCCAGCTGCCCGGCTTTTGATTTATTTCCTGGGGAGGGGTTGGAGGTGGGGTCGTCTGTCATGAGGGATGTGAGTCAAGTCAACCCCAGGATGTTCTTGCAGCAGCAAAAAATTAAACATTGCTTAAAGATGCCTTTTCCAACCTGGAAAAGATTTCCAGGGACCTAAAATAATCCTTCTGAACCTCGTTAAGGTTTTCATGGTCATTTGGAACCCAGTTAAGATTTCCAGGGATGTAACATGGTCAGTTTGAACCTGGTTAAGATTTTAAGGGATGTAACATGGCCAATCTGAACCTGATTAAGATTTCCAGGGATGTAACATGGTTAGTTGAACCTAACTAAGATTTCAAGGGACGTAACATGGTCAGTTTGAACCTGGTTAGGATTTTAAGGGATGTAACATGGTCAGTCTGAACCTGGTTAAGATTTCCAGGGATGTAACATGGTTAGTTGAACCTGATTAAGATTTTAAGGGATGTAACATGGTCAGTTTGAACCTGGTTAAGATTTCCAGGGCCATGGATGAGAAAAGAGACTCTATATAAATCCAAGATTTCTCTTCAAGGAATGATCTATTAAGGGTTCTTCAATCAACTCAGGAACAAAATGGAGCTTCCATGTTTCATGGCAGTGTACCTTGGGACACCAGAATGCTGGGGGTTGGTTTGGGGGGGAATGGTGAGGGGGTGGTAGAATGTAAAACAGCAAAGGAAGCATCCTAGCCTCCCTCATCTCTGATTTATGAGCCTCGTGGCCACATCGGCGCTCGAAATAGGACGCTGGAGTAAATTTACTCTGGGTCTGGTCCAGCAAGTCTCTCTCGAAGCGCCGACTCAGCGTAACTGGATGGAGATCAAATGGATTTGTAGAAGCTACCATTTTCTCTGGGAATGCCGGCAAATAAATAGCAAATCAAAGCTCAAGGTTTGGCAGCCATTTTGACTTTTTCGACCTACTCTGAAGATGCCACTCAAGAGGAAGGAAGCCAGGGAGAGTTTGCAAACCTGTCTTTTTCCCCCTTAATGTTTCAAACTCAGCCTTTGCCAAAAGAAGGGGATTTTTTGGGGGGGAAGAGGAGAGCGCTCACAATTTGTGTGTGTGTGTTTGTTAGTCGGGCTGGGAGGCCAAGAGGCTTTGCTGACCTGCCCAGAACTAAAAAGTAAATTCTGCAGGGGGGAATTAAGAAGCGTAGTCCTCGCTCTGCCTGGTTTTCCTTTCAGTGTCATTTCACGGAGGAGTGCCGGGTTGGCACCCTGTGTGAGCTTCTGTTCTCCAAAGAGGGGGGAAAAAACACCCTGTTGTTCTCCATGGTGTGTGTGATAACACACACAGAGAGAACAGCTTTCAAATGTGCCACACAGGGCTGACCGAACAGAAACTAAAATCAGATCGAGAATTCAAACAGAGACTCAACAGGAAGCCTCCCTGATATTATTCTGGTCTGGGTTTGCGCGATACTGACAGAACAGGATTTGGGGGCAAATCCTGAGCCGGCCTCCGCCCCCCACAAATAAATACAGGTAATCCTTAACTTACGACTATAATTGAAACCAAAAATCCCGTTACTAAGTGAGACAATTGTTAAGCAAATTTTGCCGCTTCTTCTCACGGCTGTTAAGCGAATTGCTGCTGTTGGTTCAGTTAGGAACCCCGTTGTTCATCGCATCGGGTTTCCTCGTCGACTTTGCTCATCGGAAAGTCGCAAAAGGGGGAATCACGTGACCCCTACCCCGCCCAGGGACTCTGCGACCATCATAAATACCAATCGGTGGCCAAGCCGTCCAAATTTTGATCGCGTGACCATTAATGGTCGTAAGCGTGAAAAACAGTCGTCACTCTTTTTAGCGCCGTTGTAAATTCAGGACTACCTGTGCAGAAAAGGGGCCTCTGAGCTGAGTTACTAATTAGTCCTGGACTTTCAACACTTCATTTAGCGACCGTTCAAAGTCATAAAGAAAGTGACTTATGACCATTTCTCACACTTACAGCCATGGTCACGTGATCAAAATTAAAACCCTTGGCAACTGAGTCACATTTATGATGGTCGCAGCTTCTCAGGGTCATGTAATCCCTTTTTTGAGATCTTCTGCCCAGACAAGACCACGGGGAGGCCCGATTCACTTAACAACTGTGTTACTAACTGAACTGCAGTGATTCACTTAACAACGGCAGCCAGAAAGGCCGTAACATGAGGCAAAACTCACTTCACAAACACTTTGCTTTGCACTGTCAGTTCCGGGCTCCGTTGCAGTCGTAAATCGAGGTCCTCCTGTGCTTTCCAAGCTAATTATATAGAAGTATATTAAGATGATTAAGTTATTAATTGTCTTAATTAATGGCCAAGTATTACATACTTTATGACAGCTGTAGGCCAGCCTTAGGAAACCGGTCCAGGATGTCAAAAAAGTCAAAATGGCCGCCCTAAAATTGCACTGGAACTCTCCTTGCAATGATTGGCGTCATTGTGGCTGCAATCTTTAATAATAATAATAATAATAATAATAATAATAATAATAATAATAATA